CCCTTGAGAATTGTCTTTGATGCTTCTTCAAAAGGCGTTGGTAAGCTTTCTCTTAATGACGTCATGCATACCGGCGGAAGTTTCGTGAACAAAATCCAAGACATTCTCACGAATAGCCGATGGTGCAATATTCTGATTACAGCTGACATCCAAGCAGCATTCACCCAGATCAGAATCGCTGCAGAACACCGCGATTTGCTAAGATTCCTGTGGCTAAAAGATCCGAATCAAGCTCCTTCACCATCTAACATGGTCCACTACAGGTTCAAGCGACTACCATTTGGAACAAAAGCTTTAGCATTCCAACCAGGGTGAATATCGCTTGAGGATTCCTCAACGGCACGTCGAGGATTCTCTGCCCGATCAGACACGATCTCTCGCGCGGACATTCACACTCGCCATGCGCGTGCCGTCTGTGCTCTCCGCGCGGATGTTCACTCTCGGCACTACTCTCGCATGGTAGAGAGCTATGGTCGAGGAAATTCCTCGACCGTTATTCACCCTGTTCCGAACATGTCGCTAGCAGCCTATCTCACCACAACGGGAACAGTCCTGTCCAAAGAGATTCTAGATAACATCTACGTCGATAACGTCTTCCTAGCAGCAAATACCGAAGAAGACGCACTGGAGAAAATTGAAAACTCCAGAAAGCTCTTCCGCAATATTGGAATGAACTTGAGAGACTTCACCAGCAACTCAGAATATGTTAATAAACATATTCCTGATGTGGTCAAAGGTAAGACTGGCAACACAAAATTGCTTGGGGTAGCTTACAACACTGAAAGCGATGAGCTCCTCCTTGATGTAAGGCTATCTCAAAAGCAACAGATGACCAAAAGAGAACTTGTGAGTGCAGTCCACAAAATATACGATCCTCTCGGCCTGGCACTACCCTTGACCCTCAAAGCAAAACTGCTGATGAGAGAGGTAGTTATGCTGAAAATAGCTTGGGGAAAACCTCTTAGCACGGAATACATTAACAGGTGGAATGAAATTTGCACGGAAATTTCCGGTACTTCTATCAGAGTGCCGCGCAATATCGGCCTGACACTTCATGACGGAAAAGGTTCAACACTATGGGTATTCGGTGATGCAAGTCAGCTGGCAATATCCTGCTGCAGCTACGTTACTCACCCACCCAGCAATCAAACAAAGGGCTTATTGTGCGCAAAAACACGGCTCGCTCCAAAAGAAAGACAATTAACCATCCCAAGGCTCGAACTTCTTGCCATTTTGATATCTCTCCGATTGGCAAAAACCATACTACGATCGTACCAAGGTCGCATAACTAAGGTTTATATTGTGAATGACAGCAAAATAGCATTAGCCTGGACACAAACCTCAAGAAGGCTTCCTCTTTTCGTAGCTAATCAGGTGGACAGAATCAAAAAGCTTCACCATTCTATCCAAGAACTCGGAATATCATTACAATTGAGCTACATTGAGTCCGAAAATAATCCTGCTGACATCGCGACTGGCCTGTAGCTGAAGGTCAGTTCAAGGCTAGCGAATGGCTTAATTGGTTCAAATTACAACCAATGATTGGCCAATTGACTCATCATGGGAGCCGAATTCGAGCGACCAAATCAGCGCTGCGACAACATGCGCACCCACGGTCAAAGCACCACCACAACGAACTCACGCCATTATCGACACCTCGCGCTTCCGATACTACTCACGAGCCTTGTGCACACTGGCGCGCGCAATGAAAGCACTGTCATGCTGGATTGCGAGAGTCAACGCGCGAAACAACAGAACCATCGCGCTTCCGCTGCTACAGCGCTTCCTTCCAGACAATGAAATTACGTCCAGTGAGCTGAAGGCCGCGGAACAATTGATTCTACATGAACAAATAAGTGACATCGATATTAACGAACTCCGCTCAAGGTACAAAGACAAAAACCTGTTCCTAGACGAAAACGGGCTAATTAGAGCCAATTCACGGCTCACTAACGCAGCGTTACCGCGCGACACGAAAGAACCAATTTTCATCCCGAAAGAGTCTGATCTCATACGTCTCATTGTCAATGAACTACACGAGACCAACATGCACTTGCGGTCACAGATATACTACCATAGGGCTCTCAGTATCGATTCGCATCCTAGCAGTCCATCACGGAATTCGGAAATCCTAGTCAATGCACGTATGCCAAGAATAAGTCTGCCTTTGAGTATCCCAGAGATGGCTCCTACCAAAAGACCGCGTGGTCAAATCAAAGCCTCTTCCAACATGTTGGCTGCGACTACGTAGGTCCCTTCAACAGCGACAGTAACGAGAAGATGTACATTGCTTTGTACACGTGTCTATCGACAAGAATAGTACATCCAGCGTGAAGTCTTCGCCAATTTCGACATTCTTAGCAGTTTTCGTCATAGCAGAGGCTTTCCAAGTAATTTAAATTCGAGGCTGACTTGGAAGACAACTGTGTTCTTGCGGGTCTGCAAGTAAGATCTCTCGTCAAAGGATAACGAAGACGTTCATCATGGCCTATTTGGGCAACTAATAACATCAAGTGGATTTTCAATCCTCCCGCAGCACCGTGGATGGGAGGAGTTTGGGAAAGAATCGTGGGAACGGTGGGAAAGTGCCTCTCCAGACCATAGGACGCAAGAAGCTGTCTTTCACAAAATTTGCAACAGTTCTGGCTTGCATTGAGGCGGTTGTGAACACACGGCCGCTGACAAAGGTGGATCCCGATGACTTGAAGTCCCTCCCTTTGCGTCCTATAGATTTCCTGCAAGGAAATATCAAGTTTGCGCTCCCTGAAAACAAGGATGTAGAAGAGCTAAATGATCCCTCCTACGAAGAAGCCACAATCGCTACAATGGAACAAGCCAAAGAAGCGATAGACTTTGCTGAGAAAATGGCGAACCACTTCTGGAATAGATGGCAAAACGAGTATTTAACAGAGCTACGAGACATTCATAAAGCGCTCATGAAACAAGGAAGAGGACTAGTCCCACGTAGCAACTGGCCACTCGGTCGCGTAACCGACCTAGTGCAGAGCACTGACGGATTAATTCGTTCGGCGAAAGTACTAACTCCTTCAGGAAACATCTGCCATCGCCCAATAACGAAGCTGATACCGCTCGAAATTCGTAGTGCGATTCGTGAATCCCAGCCTGCACGATCGCAGAAGAGCTCCGTTCCCGAGAAAGGCTAAGCAAAAAGTCAAATACTTTGACTCTGAGCATGACCTAGAGGAGTCATCATATACAAACCACTCAACGAACCTGCTCCTTCTCCAGGATGATTCTTTATCCCATCCTTCTACTATCATTTCTCCCCAGCCTATCTGCTGCAGGAATCTTCTGCGAGAACGGAACGCTCACCGTATCCCCTTCCTCAAAGTTCTACACTCTGTGCTTCAACAAGGCATGTAAGCACATAACTAGAAAGCAGACATCAACATTTGTGCTGCCACCGTCTGCACATGAGAACTCATGAATGTTACCCTGATAAGCCATATGCCAGAACGCAATATTAGAGAGAGTCTAGTATGTGCTCGGCAACCCTTTCTGTGCCGACAAGACACTTTTCACCACATCACTTTTGGGAAACCCTCACTGTTGGCCTGGAGGGCGCTATCATAACAGCAATAACAATTGCAACAGTGATATTACTAGCGATACTTCTCCTTGGCGTCCTTATCAAAAACAGCCGGCTAAAGGCTCAGGCCAACGACAGGCCACTTTCACTCGATAAGACGAACGAACGAAGATACCGAAACTTCATTCACTCTCAGAAATCTAAAACCCTCAACTCTTGTTGCGGTCACGCTGATAATGCTGACAGTATGTGCTCTTCCAACTCTTCCTTGCCAACACTTTCATACGCACTACAGCAAGGAACTGGTATGCAACGAAACAAACATATGCACCCTCGAGTACGAACAAGAACTCTTCGCCGATAAGCTTCATTAACCCATAACGGACGGCCAGTGTATTTGTTGCGTGCGCCACCATGTGGCGCACGCCGCCACCCAGGGTAGGGTTTATGTAGGCTTATGCGAACAGCAGGGTTAAGACGGGGCTAAAGTAGGTGTCCGTGTCTCATCATCCAAAAGAAGAGATTTCCGTTGACGACAAGTTCGTAACCCGCCTTTCCGCTCTAAAACTAGGGTGCAAAGAATGAATGGAAGCTGTAGGTGACATTATCGAAAAATGCGAAACAACAACCCCGAGCAAGGATGTGGCTATATTTAGGGGAAGGGGTCTCGGGACGTGTGAACCATGGGTAAGCCACCATCAAATAGTAAACTTATGTAAAATTAA